CTCAAACTGCTCTCACGCCTAACAAAGGAAACAGGCCATGTTCCAGCTGGACAGGAACCTGGATCCACTCCTGGTCTTGTTCCTTCAAGCCTTGCTGGACGTGAATGAGGAAAAAGGGTCTGGGTAGAAATTAGAGTGGTTCAGCCGTATTCTCTCCAATGGCTCCCCAAAACTTTCCCCAGGTCCTCAGTAAACGTTGGTGAGGAACTGATTTTATCATCTGACATTTCTTCCAACATAATTGTTGAAAAAGAAAGTTGGCTGAGATTTACAACGACCTTTCCTCACAAGGTGGGTGGTTGGTCTTGGGAAGGAATGAGAACCATTCCACTGATAGAAGCAGCAGCTCTGCCCCAGCCGACATAATGAAGGAAATGGTGGTTTAGAAAAATCTTAAAAATTGCTCAGAGATGATTACAGGCTGTCATTAAGAAATGAGGAAGGAAGGGCTTTCTTTTCGACGACAGGGTGTACAGCTCTACTGTCAGAAATTATTATTTTATATTTAGGCCAATGGTAGTCTGTAGGCCTTTGAAATGTAAAAAGCAATAATAACTTAAGTATCTGGTTTGACTTACAAAGCATCAAGATAGATTACACGGGCCATATAAAAAACCTGGCTCTGTCCTTTACAACATCTTGTATTTCCAGTTTCTGAAGTCACTACTATATTGATTGAGTGCCTGCTCTGTGTAGGACACCTACCATGGTGGATTCAGAGAGTATCAGACCATGGAGATCTAACTGGGTTCATCATCCGGGGGAGGGGGGCCTTGGGGAGAGTAAGCAATGCACGCGCTGAGTCGCAGAACAACAGAGACCACAGGCCACGCAGATTTCACAGGAGGTGGGGATCTGGGAGTTGAAGCAGCTTCCCAGAAGCAGGAGAAGAGAATTCCTAAAATCACACAGGCATGAAAATAACCGTGGTTCCACACAACAAACCAAGTAACGTGGTTGCAACGTGAAATTTGCACGTTTGTTCTTGATTAGATCTTTGAGAGCGCGAGTGGGGGAATCACCTATAGTAAAGACATCCTGCAGTGAGCTTCACTCCTAATCCGGGGTTTCATTTCGCGCCTTTCCTCTCACATCCTCCACACCTGCTGAAATAGCTGATCATTTGGACAGAACCATCAGAGAAGTATAGTTACGCTTTAGATTTGGAGGTGAAAACTACGAACCACTGAAATCCACTTTTGTGTTCCATTTCCTTATTCTAGTGAGGTGTGAAAAGGCTTCTGGAAGTAGCAGCAGCTTCTGTTTCGGCTTGACTGCTGTGAATTCCTGAGCCCAGCCCTGAGAAAGAGTAACCATGTTTGTGGGGCCACTATACAGTGCAGTGTATGCTGCTCGGGTGATGGGTGTGCCGGGATCTCACAAATCTCCACTAGAGAACTTTCTCCTGTAACCAAATACCACCTGCACCCCAATAACTCATGGAAAAACAGAATTTTTTAAAGATGAAAAAAGATTCCAAAATAAAATAGCAGTTATGAGTTTAAAGGACCTGTCTCACGGTTTCATATCACACTGATGAGCAACCAAGAGACTCTCATCACCCTCAGAATAAACACCAAAAAGTCACACAGGCAGGAACTAGCTGTTGTCAGATTTCCTGAATTTGCTTTGACATGGCACAGTAAAATGCTTATATTAATTAACACATGGCCATTTTATATTTACCAATTCTATGAAGTGGGAAACAATCGCAACTATAAATTTTTATTTCAAAAGAGAATATTATTCCAGAGAGTAAAGAATTAAAGCTTTAAGACCACATTACTACTTCTTTTTTTCTGAGACAAAATTTTGCTCTTGTCATCCAGGCTGGAGTCAATGGTACAATCTTGGCTCACTGCAACCTCCGCCTCCCAGGTTCAAGCGATTCTCCTGCCCCAGCTTCCCAAGTAGCTGGCATTACAGGCATGTGCCACCACAGCAGGCTAACTTTTTGTATTTAGTAGAGATGGGGTTTCACTATTTTGGTCAGGCTGGTCTTGAACTCCTGGCCTCAAGTGATTCGCCTGCATTGGCATCCCAAAGTGCTGGGATTATAGGCATGAGCCACCACGCCCAGCCAAAATCTGTTTTCTGATACCTAAAAGTAAAACCTTAAGAATTATCCACCTGTCTGTCTCAGGATAAATTTGTTAAGTGTCTATTCTATGCCAGGTTCTGGACTAAGTGTTAGAGACAAAAAGATTTTTTAAAAAAGCTTAACATACGGCTCCTGCCTTTAAAGAACTAACTAAAAATAAACACCTTCTTAAGAGTCTCTTCACACTTACGTTGTATTTAAATAACTTAAATATAAAAATACCAGTAGATTGAAAAAGACTTAAAGGCTTTCATGACCAGGTTGAAAATTAAAGTGGATTAAAAGGAGAGAGAATGAAATAAAAGGGAAATAGAACAGACCAGCTCATTACTCATAAAAAGAAATGAACTTCTGATATGGATGGGTCTTGGAAATACTATGCTGAGTGAAATAAGTCAAACACAAAAGGATAAATATTAGATAATTCCACTGCTACAAAATATCTAGTAAATTCCTGGAGGGGAATGGGCAAATTCATACAGATAGAAAATAGATTAAAAGTTATTGAAGGCCGGGCGCGGTGGCTCAAGCCTGTAATCCCAGCACTTTGGGAGGCCGAGGCGGGTGGATCACGAGGTCAAGAGATCGAGACCATCCTGGTCAACATGGTGAAACCCCGTCTCTACTAAAAATACAAAAAATCAGCTGGGCATGGTGGTGCGTGCCTGTAATCCCAGCTACTCAGGAGGCTGAGGCAGGAGAATTGCCTGAACCCAGGAGGCGGAGGTTGCGGTGAGCCGAGATCGCGCCATTGCACTCCAGCCTGGGTAACGAGAGCGAAACTCCGTCTCAAAAAAAAAAAAAAAAAAAAAAAAAGTTATTGAAGACAGGACAAGAGGAGATCAGAGAGTTACTGCTTAATGGTTACAGAACTTTTGGTTGGGGTGATAAAAACTTACAAAAATAGTGCTGATGGTTGCGTAACGTGAATGTAACTAATGTCACTGAATTGTATACTTAAAATGGTTAAAATGGCAAATTTTCTGTTATGTATATTTTACTGCAGTTTAAAAAGTGAATAATATTATATACCAAAAACCACTGAATTGCGTACTTTAAATGGTAAATTGTGTGGCTTGTGAATTATACCTCAATACACTGTTTTTTTAAAAAAATCTCTTACATGTTAGCATAGCACTTTGTTACCTTGTAAAGCTCTGAATATTATTACAGAAATTTGTCAAATTTATCAGGAAAGTATGAGATAAGAGAGAAAATGTTACATTAAATGGCTAGGCTCAGTGGCTTATCCTGTAATCCCAAGGAGAGAAGGCCTCTCTGGAAGGCCAAGGCAGGTGGATCACCTGAGGTCAGGAGTTCAAGGCCAGCCTGGACCATCTCTACTGAAAATACAAAAATTAGCTGGGCGTGGTGGCACACGCCTGTAATCCCAGCTACTCAGAAGGCTGAGGTACAAGAATCACTTGGACCCTGGAGGCGGAGGTTGCAGTGAGCCAAGATCATGCCACTGTACTCCAGCCTGGTAACAGAGTGAGACTCCATTTCAAAAAAAGAAAAAGAAAGAAGAAAGAAAGAAAGAAAAGGAAAGAAAGGAAAGAGAAAGAAGAAAGGAAAGAAAGAAAAAAGAAAAGAAAAGAAAAAGAAAGAAAGAAAATGTAAGATTAAGAGTCTGGGAAATGTGATTCCAGGCCTGCTTTGCCACTTCATTGGCTGTGATGCCTGGAGCTTAGTAATCAACTTCATTTGACTCTGTTTTTTCACCTGGGAAACTAAGAAGCAAAATCAAGTGATTAACTTTTTAAATACTATGACTCGCACTTCTTACTGAATGCCTAGATTTTACAAATAATCACATGTCCTTTGGCAGTTTAGAACACAGAACAGCCTTGTCTCTTTTTGCATACCTAGTTAAATGACAAATTTACTATCTTGCAATGAATACTCATCAGGCTATTTTCAACAGAGCTTCTTGGCTGGACTCTTCTTGAATATATAGTCAGCCTGAAAAGTATGGCTGGAAACCACTGTTCAAACAAAACAGATGACAACATTTGTTTTTTACACCTCTTAAAAGTAGATTAGCTATAGATCAGAGCATGCCACTGCCTAAAACAACGTCTGATATATATTTGCTTTCAGTACATATTTGTTGAAATGCAAGAACACTTGTGTTTACTCCCTCGGTAACTGTCAGGGCTCGGGGTCTGGTGGGAGCATGGAGGGGCAGCAGGCCAGCTCTCAGCGCCCCCGGGAGTCTATGTCTTCTGGGCTCAGACTTGCTTCCTCAGCTGGCGCTGTGTTCCTCCCAGAGGTCCATCATTGGCACGACCAAAGAGTTCCCTTCTAGTAAGTACCATTAAGGAGTCCAAGGTCCAGACAGAAGAGAACGAGGTCTGGTATTTCCAAAGTATTTCATTCTATGAAAATTTGTTTCAGAAAAAGACCATAATACCATTTGAGCTAAGTTAATAAGAAAGCTACATTTTTGTCACTGGTTCTATTGTTGCCTCAAAACAATAGTTACAAAACAGAAAATAAAAATAATTACTGGGAAAACTCAGAAGCCGACATACTACTCTCCTCATCTCCTAATCCAGATGTAATAAAGTGATGTGATTTAGACTAAAATCAGCCAAAAGCCAGTCAAACACAAATGCCACAGAACCAGAATTCTATCTTAAAATAAAAGCTCTTGGAAAAAAAGAAGGTAGTAATCATCTTTTACTAAGTGACAACTGAAGGTACTTAAGTCTTTGATTAGGAAAGGAAAATAGGCCTCCCCAAGTAAAGTTAGCCACAATTTATGATAACCTGAGGAAAAAAACAGATTTGGGTTTTGTCAATTCCATTCGAAGGCAGAGAAAAGCTTATAAGCTCACGATCACCCCCTGAACCCTTTACAAAGAGCCACATAGTCACATCAAGATGTCAAACATACCCTGAATTGGAATTCCATCCTGGATTGGTGGGATAAGAAGTTTTGACTCAGCCCTTCGAGGAGAGCTTCGATTTCTCCATCCTCTGACCAGAGCCCCCACCATGGTTGCTGGCAGCATGCTCCCCAGGTTGCTGTGGTCCTGCCTTGGTGGGGAGGTGGGGGCCCGGTCAGGCCGTCACTGCAGGAGAATCATGTCCTCCTTGGAGGTGCTACACCCAAGACTGACAGGTTTGGGCAGTTCCTCCCGCCCTCATCTCCCGCCCACATTCTCATCCCTCTTGCATTGTCAGACCTCCTCGGGAGGCCCAGGGAAAGAAAGCTTGGGAGGTAAGACAAGGAAAAACAGACAACAGCAAAAATTAAAATGAAGAATAGGAGTAAAGTGAACCAGTAGAAGAGAATGGCCAATATTATAGAAGCACCAGTTCCTTTATATGACGGATAATGTCTGATTCTTCATTTTTTACTTAAAGTCTAATTTTTCAACATGGAAAAATGACCATGTGTGGGAGGGCTGAGGCGGGGCACATACCTGCGTACCTATTTCTCTTTTCTTGACTATTTTCCTTGCTAAATTGGAAGAGCTTTCAGGCAATATTTTTTCCAAAGCAAACCATCTTCTACATAAACACAATTTGTTTACAATATAAGAAATGTATTTCTAATGTTTTGAGTGTTCACAGAATTACACTGGCACTTGAGAATGAGGAAAGTTGGTCAAGGGATTTAGTAAAATTTCCAATCAAATAAACTCTCAAAGACTTTTAAAAAATGAATCAATTCCAATGACCTAATTAGCTCTCCTGTGGAGCCCAGGTAGCGTTGTCTCATCCTGAGCAGTTGGTACTTGAGCTGCACTCATATGGGACACTGCTCACATGTGCCCCCTACTGGTCAGGTGCGAGGTGCACACTGGGCAGAGACCAATGGCTGCATTAAAGCAAGGGGAGGAGCAAGTAGCTCTAGAAAGTTCTAGAATCCCTTGGCCATCTCTGTATGCTATATTCATTCAGCCGAGGTGGTACAAATTGAGATTAAATTAGCTGTAGGCAGCCTAAGAGGTTTTGTTATTATGACTTGTATGGGTTACAGAGATGGAATGATCCATGCCTGACTTCACTCTTTTCTCCCCTTCCCTGGTTACATCTCATTTAATTTAATAAGATCAAGATAGTTCCTTCAGGAGGTGGGCAAATTCCCCAAATGACCTAAAACTGATCACATTCAAATAAAACTACAATGTACTAAAGAAAGAGTATTTTGAGGATACACACCTTACATATTCATTTTCTTGACATTTACCTTATTATTTTGACCTTTCCAAAATTCAGAAAACCTTTGGTATCACTATGGTCAGAGGGAAAGTCAAAGTGCAGGATGGAATTTTAAAAGGGTAGAAGAGTAGGAAGATATTAGCTCTATTCTCTCTGCACCCCAACCTCAGAGCAGGATCCTTGCAGCACCATCTCAGAGGGGCAGCCCTTGATGAGAGGCACGTGACCCAGGCCTCCTTGTGGGGTACCTCTCCTTTCGCACTGGAGTGGGGTTCCCCTTTTCCACAGGCAGCTCCTTCTGCCACAGAGGGCTGAGCTGGGCTCTGATGGGTTTGGGGAGAGCTGCTCATAGGCAAAGCTACCTACTCTCTAGGGGAAAGGGCAAAGTGGCCTTTAATATCTCTGTTCCTATCACACCCAGAGTCACCAAGACAGGGCTGAAGCTGTCTTCTGCTGGGGCCATGCCCTGTGGGAGTGGGATGGCATCAGGGAAGAGAGCAGGGAGCCCAGTGCTCAAGTGTAGGGTTTGGTCTTGTCTTAGAAGAGGGGGTTGAGCCAGGCACAGTGGCTCACACCTGTAATTTCAGCTCTTTGGGAGGCTGAGGCAGGGGAATCACGAGGTCAGGAGTTGGAGACCAGCCTGACCAACATGGTGAAACCCCATCTCTACTAAAAATACAAAAATTAGCCAGACGTGGTGGCACATGCCTGTAATCCCAGCTACTCAGGAGACCGAGGCTAGAGAATTGCTTGAACTCAGGAGGTGGAAGTTGCAGTGAGGTGAGATTGTGCCACTGGGTGGCAGAGTCTGGGTGACAGAGGGAAACTCCATCTCAAAAAAATAAATAAATAAATAAAAAGAAGAGGGGGTTAAGGAGAGATCTGGAGGAACGGCCCAATGTCACACATCGGAGAGAGGATCAGGAGGCAGGAACGCAGCTGTGCAATCACCTAGAACCATCTCTTGGGAACTTCGTGTTCTATTGTAGGAGGCTGCACGGGCTGAGAATTAGGGGTGGGGGGGAGTTGAAGAGAGCCTCTATCAAGACAAGCAGAAGCCAACTTTGACCCCATCCTTAGGGTGAGGTGGCAGAGAAAATGCAGCAATGCTGAAAGTACACGTGCTTCCTTCATCAGACCCGCTGTGGGTGAACCATGCCTTCCCCGGAAATGCAAAGGGAAGCAGCTCAACAGTGAGCCCATGAACTCATTTCCCCTAAACCTGTCCTATTGTAAGATACACCCCACCCCCATGACAAGGGACACACTGAGAAAGGAAACCTATCTAAAGGACTTGGTATTAAGGCTATTAAAAATCTACTAACACCCTCCACATGGAGCTCTTCTTGGAGGCCTGATCATTACTGCTGCCACAGATCAGAAATCCCCATCCCCCACAGGCCAATGAGAAGTCCAAAAGGAGACACAGGGCTGCAGCCAGAACCATTTCGGAAAGCAGAGCAAACTGCCCAAATTCAGACGCTGAGACCCCTGCATAGCTGCTGCCATCAGCCACCAGACAGGATATGGAGGCAGGTGAGAAAGTAGGGGGATGGAGCCAGTTGAAATGTCAAAAAAGTTCCCGATCCCACACCTGATTTCCTACGTAGGGGTACCTCCCGTGTGCATTCACAGTACTTCTTACACTCTGTTGAGATGATCTACTTGTTATAGTTTGTTTCACGCAACTATCTATCCCCAAGCCTCAGGGGGCACTTGCTGGAATGCAGATTCCCAGGGCTTGCTCTGAAATGGCTGTTCTACGAGGTCTAGGATAGTGCCAGGGAGCCTGCACTTTCTAAAGCTTTCTACATTTGCTTACATCGTTAGCCTGGATTTGATCCAAGGATAGTATGAAGATGCCAATTTACTAGGCTGAGGGCTTCTTGAAGTCATGGACTACAGCCTTCTTTATGCCCAGTATAGCGTATGTCCCCAGCACATAGATTGTTGAGTGAAGAGAGCCCCGGAGGGCAGGGACATCTTCCCCTGGTCTCCACCCGAGGAGGAGGCTGCCTGATACTTTTATCCTTCCATGAAACCCGCCGTTTGCCACGGCCCCTGCTGCCACCCTGGCTGCAGGTGCCATACTGTAGGGGATCGCCTTGTCTTACCTCTGCCCCAGGCCCCCTCAATATTCCCATGTTTCACTCGCCTGTGATGCTTTGGCCCAGAATACGATTTGTCCAGGCAGCAGTTTCCTGCCTCTTCCACCCCACCAAGAATGGCTCCATCTTTCCTTCAGACGTCCTATGCCCTGGATACTAGCACAGAGGGGTCCGTGCGTCAACTCAGGGTTCAAGCCGAACAACATCATTGAACACTCTGTCATCCTTAGTTATAGCAGGTGGACGCACAGTGTCCAAGGTTTTCCCCAACAGGAAGCTGAGCGATGACCGTCACTGACTGCTGTGGGAACGTGGTCAGGAAGAGGAAGAAGGGTAACATCCTGCCTGGGAGGTCAGCGCCACCCTTCCATACACACACACGTGCTTCCTTCACCGGACCCGCTGCGGGTGACCCACACCTTCCCCCGAGATGTAAAGGGAAGCAGCTCAACAGCCAGCCCATGAAGTCATTTCCCTCCCAAACCCGTCTTATCATAATAGACACCCCTCTCCTCTCATGAAAAAGGACACACTGAGAAAGAACACACCGCTAGAAAACCAGAATCATCCTGAAGGCTGTTTAAAGGCCATTTTGGTTCACAATGAACTTTCGTTCATGGGTGTTTTTTGCTAATGTCCTTTTGTGATGAGTTGACAACTATCCTCTAAATTTCATAAATACTGTCCCCATCTGCCCTCTACAGAGGATGATGGCTAAATCGGGCCATGTGTTTCTCTGGAGCCTCTTAGGTCCTAATGTGGTTCTGAGCACACAGAGCACATGCCAATTGAAGAAATGCATGTCAAGCTGTGATGATGTGGTTGTCAACTGTTAAGATGCGAACGAAGCCATCAGAATTAAGTATGACATCCAAGTCTGTAGCAAATGCTTGACCCCCTACTATAACATCAGGGAGAAGGTCCTGGGGTGAGGGTGGGGCTGTGTGTGGCACGTTTCATCCTCATTTCTGATGTTCTCTCCATCTGGGTGGTGCTTCAGGAGCTCCTGGGGTTTTTTTTTTGAGACAGAGTCTCGCTCTGTCGCCAGGCTGGAGTGCTATGGTGCATCTCAGCTCACTGCAACCTGTGACTCCCGGGTTCAAGTGATTCTCCTGCCTCAGCCTCCTGAGTAGCTGGGATTACAGGTGCCCACCACCATGCCCAGCTAATTTTTATTGTATTTTTAGTAGAGACAGGGTTTCACCATGTTGGCCAGGATGGTTTCGATCTCCTGACCTTGTGATCCGCCCGCCTCTGCCTCCCAAAGTGCTGGGATTACAGGAGTGAGCCACCACACCCAGCCTCCTGGTAAATCCCCATATGCCTCTCTTGGGGGCAGGGCTGAGGAATTAGATTGGCATGCGTAGGAAGGGAAAACCAGGCAGGCATGATCTGGCTGCACTCTTGCTTTTGAGGCAGACAGCTGCCCGCCGGTAGTGCCCACTTTGCTTCCCGTTGCATGTGCAAGGTCTGGCTCCCGTGTGGGAAGCGCTACTCAGGCCAGCCTGCTGCCTAGGAAGGTTTTGATTCTGAGTTTGCTATTAGGACGCCTGTGTGCCCAGACATAAGACACAATCTCCAATGGCAGCTTTATCAGCAAGAAAGATGAGTTTAGTCTCCCTCTGCCTTCCTGCTTGGTTTCAAATTCTTAAACTGAGCAGAACCTGGCCAGGTTTGAGGGTCTTCACCGCCCTTTCCCCAAGCCTCCATGTCTGGTGGGTTGGCTCAGGGACATGGCACTTGAGGAACAAAATGACCCCTAGAGATGGTGGCTTCTGACAGATGCGGCGCTGGGTGTGGGCCATCAGTTTCTCATGTGGCTGTTCGCAGCACAGCGTTCTGTGCCACAGTTCGCTTTTGCAGTCTTGCAGGTGGCCTTTCTTGTGGCCTGGTGAGCAGCTTTAGTGCACTTTTCACTTTGGCAGCTGACTTAGCCGCAGACAACTTTGCCACAGGTGAGTGGCTCTTTCTGGGGCGTCGTTGGGCCTGCAAGCACCAGGCCCGGACATGCAGCCTCCGGCTCCCCCACGCACAGGGGCTGCACGGCCTCAGCAAGGTGGTCTTAGCCTAACCGTGGGGGAGGGGGGCTAGGGAGCAGGCATCATGGTTGCCTCTCACCAGATGTACTGAGGCAGAGTCAACTCTAGGAGAAGGAGAATCTGCGTTTATAGGCTTTTTAGCATCGGGGTAGAACCATATTGCAAGGCAGCATGCTTTGTGCACACGGCATAGTGGGGTTTAGCTTTAAAGTATCATTGCCTGGTCCCTTCAGGCGTACTTTGTCAGCTGCTGCAAATTCTGTACTCAAGGCCAGAGGGAAATTGAGGAGTGGCAAAGTCTGGGTTCAGGAAGCTCATGCACAGGTTTGAGAGTCTCCCTAGACTACAGGGCCTCAAGCTGGCTCTGGATCTCTGGGTCCTCTCAGACGCCACTGGGACTCTGCTCCAGGCTGCAGTTAAGGAAGGACAGCTGTGCAAAGCTAACTACTCCAGGGGGTGGGGAAAAAGTTTTCTAAATTTGGAGGTGGTGGAACCATCAGTATATACAGAATTCTCAATACAAAGAACATTGACAAAATTCTACATTTTGATTTTTTTTTTTTTTTTTTTTTGAGATGGAGTCTCACTCTGTCACCCAGGCTGGAGTGCAGTGGCACAATCTCAGCTCACTTTAGCCTCCACCTGCAGGGTTCAAGCAATTCTCCTGCCTCAGCCTTCTGAGTAGCTGGGACTACAGGTGCCCGCCACCATACCTGGCTAATTTTTTTGTTGTTGTTGTTGTATTTTTAGTACACATGGGGTTTCATTATCTTGGCCAGGCTGGTCTCAAACTTCTGACCTTGTGATTTGCCTGCCTTGGCCTCCCAAAGTGCTGGAATTACAGGCATGAGCCACCGTGCCTAGTCTACATTTTTTTAAGAAGGGAAATGAAAGAAAAGATGATCTACTATTATCCTTTCTTTTCTCCAAGTGATAACCGCTACCCAGCCTGAATTGTTCTGAACTGGATGTTGTACACAATTCACCTGAGCACTGTGCTACCTCCCATGCCACCTTTGCAGTCCTCAGCACTGCAGCGGCCATATACAGGAGAAAAGCAGGGAAAACACAATGCACATGTGGTTCCTGCTAAAAGAAGTTAATCAATGAAAAACTGATTTGTAACTTCATATAGAATTGGCACTCTCACATATATAAGCATTACTGTCTAGAGGTGTTTATTACCTCCCAACGGCACCTCCTCTCCATCTGACCTAATGGTGGGAAAATGTGCTCAAACTTGCCCATCTAAGGCAACTTTCCCGTGATTCTCAGTGTGCCCTCCTCCAGCAGTAGTCCTCTTCTTCCTTCAAGTGTAAAAGCTACAAATGGGTTATCTGTACTCACTGTCTTCATCTCTTCCCCAATTCGCTCCAATCTAGTCTCTTCCCTGCTTCACCACACACAACCCCTCAACCAAAACAGTTCTCTGTAATATGATGCTGCTTAACCCAACTGGTATTTATCAGTCTCTTCGGCA